ATAATAATAATAATAATAATAATAATGATAATAAGATGGATTTATAATATAGGGCAAATAATCGCGGTCTCATATACAATATTGTAGTCAAGAAAACAAAGAAAAAACCAAAAAAAAAAAAAAACCAAAACAATAAACACCAAGCTAGCACCCAAACCGAAGTATGGGGTTACACCATCACCGCCAACCTGAGATCTGTGTTTATGTACTCCGGTTAGCATCGGTTAAGTCTTGATCTTTTCTGGGATCAGGTGCCTCCTAACCTGGACCAAACACTAGCTAGCGAGGTGAAACAGAGAATTTGAAAAAAAAAAAGAGAAAAACTTTACTTTCAGAGGTTTGTAAAACGGTCGAAAACGCAAAAGGGGTTTTTCTCAAATAATTAATGTTTATTCACCCAAAAGTATTAAATAAACAAGGCCGTATGAAAAGCAAGGTGTTGAATCGGGGGATGAAAGGGCATTTATAAAGGTGGGGGGGGGGGTTTGGGAAGATTTTTCAAAGATAGATATTTTCTCCTTGTCCCCCAGTGATTACGTCATCGGGCAGCATAGATCAAAGGAGTTATGACAGTTTTTGAAGTGGAGAAGGGGTTGCATGGGTGTTGTGAGTCTGGTCATTATGATATCTTCCTTTTTCTCTTCTCTTTTTCTTTCATTTTCTTTCCTCTTCTTTCTCTTTCCCTCCCCCTCCCCTCTTTCATTTCTCTTATTACCCAGCCCGGTACGACGACTTGGTAGGCCCGGTAAAAACCGTCAGGGGAGGGGCAGTTTAACACGCCAATCATCCCCCCAATGAAAAATATTTTTCTACGCCACTGGATAGAATCATGGCTTCTTCCCCACCCCTGGTTGTTCATGATTCTCCAGCAAGTGGCAGCCGAGTGGAGGGTGGAGGGAGCGAGGGATCTAGTGTCCCCATCGACACCGAAGGCGCAATCCACTGCTCTTCACTTAATTAAAATGTTTTTGAAATACTGTATTCTGTTCGCAATCTCTGGGCAGTAGAGTAAAAAAACAATGAAAAAATTGATAAGAACTTTTTATTTTCCAAATTGTGTCCAGAGGTCAAACCCCCAACTACTAATATTTGGATGAATTTCAGTAAATTAATGTTAGTTTTAATAGGCATCAAGATAGTCAGTGGCGGAGATTCCATATTTTTGTAGGGTGGCTCGAGGTAGATTGAATTGAACCACAAGGCCGGGTTGGGGGCCAGGGGGAGAATCCCATGGAGCTCACACATTCTAGGGGATTAGCTGACCAATTTAATAGATTTATAAGGAGGAAATCTCACAAAAATAATGCTGCAGGAATTTGAAAAAAAATGAGGCCTATATTTAAAAAGATGGATTACTAACTAAAAACATGGAAAAAAGACCAACGTGTAGTCCTATCCAATTGACCCACTCAGATATGAAATGGCCAACTAATACTTTGGTGGGGGAGGGGCACTGACCGACTATGTACTGTACAGTATATGACTTGTGAGCTAAATCAATACATTTTGAATCAAATCAGTAGAAACAAGCTTATTGGACGTCATTAGAAAATGACATCCCTTTTTGTTCATCTCTATTGAAAACTCAGACATTTCGAACCGTACGCGTACGTAACATCAGTCAGTGTTTCAACATGGTCACGTCTTCATAATTAGCTGAAGAGGCGCAACTTGAAGTTGTATACAGGGGCGGATCTGGGTTCAAATTTAGGAGGGGGCCAAAATGTTTCCAAAAAGGACCTCTGACCCTTCACTCCAGATCTGCCAATGTAGTATGTTTTATAAGCACAACTTTCTGAGAGTATAAAGCAAAGTGATTCCAAATGGAGAGGCCATTATTACTCAACGTTTGTAAGACACATTATTTTATGTATCAACAAAGCTACTTTGGACAGGGTGCTAGATCGAGGACCCTATGGGTAGCCAGGGGTCCTTTGGACCAGGCGTCGGGGTCCCTGCGCACCGCACCAGAGGCGTTACGCCACACAAATCTCAGGTTTTGAAGTTTCACACGAAGATTTGATAATCTGACCTCAAGAGTGCCTCGTGGCTTCCTCAAACTAGGGCCATTTTTTCATCCCAGCCTTAAATTCAATTGTGGGATTTTAGATGTGCTCGTTTTTTTTTGTTTTTGTTCATGTTTGTCTAAATTTTTTTTAACGACGAAATAAATAATAGGCCTAGGCCTATATAATATCAGTGCCGGATCCAGGAATTTGAAATGGAGGGTCTATAGCAAGAAAAAAATATGGTTATGGCACCTGGAAATGGCAGACAGACTTAAAATTGTATTATATAATTTTCTTTTTTATCACCATTAAAAAAAATGTTTAACAAATTTTAAAAGGACGTGAGCTGGCTCCCTCCACCCCGCCTTAAATCCTTCACTGGAGATAATACTATAGGCATATGTTACTGTCGATATCAGGGAAACATTTCTATTATTTATCAACAAAGTTCTTTCATGGTCAGAGTGCTGATTTTCGGGACCCTATGAGTCGAGTGCCCAGCAGGTGTGGGTGATATAGCCCCGCAGAAAAACGTAGGAGGCTAATAAACTTGCATAAATAAAAAATCAACATTTCTTACTGATGAGGGCGCTTGTAATTTGAAGAGGAGCTGACTGCGTGTGGTAAATATGTTGACCGTCAGCAGCATAAACATTGTTCAAATATCAGTTCTGGTAGTCATTGGTAAGCAGTAGAATTGCTAAATTTAGAGTATGTTAAAACAGGGAGTTGGTTGAAATAAGGACGAGAATAAGATAACCTTCAAGATAATGTCATATAGGCCAATTTTCCCCAGTTCTCGCTTTATGATTATGATGGTGTTTGAATAAGGTTTCCGCGTTTTTGTAAGAGGCTCATGAGGGCGCCTTATAAAGTTATATTATTATTCTGTAGTTTAAAGCCCCATTCCCGGCAAATTTTCACTAAAAACTGATTTTTTAAAGAAAATATGCTTTTGCATTACTCCAATTATTATAAATCATGGAAAAATATTGGCATGAATTTTAGGCTTACGCAAAAGAATAAAAAAAATGAGAAATACAGACTCGGCCCTATTTCTCATAAAATATTACCATTTTCTCGACGAATTCATCGTTACTAGGCCTAGGCAAACTCAGTGGTTGTAGATCGCATCCACTGGAATACTCTCGCTTTTATGTATACTTTATACAGTCAATAAAGTGCGCCCTCTCTAATATGAGATTAGTTTTTGTACTTCACATCTCGCACAATGCGGTCGTTCGATTAAGGCTGAGATTTTTGTTTAAGTGTCAAAATCTCAGTCAGAATCAGTTTTTGAACAAATTTGAAATAATTCCTATGAAATATTATATTTCACAAGTGTCATTACTAGCAACGGAAAATATCATGTCAGCCGTTTTTATGTGTGATAACAAAACCTAAATCGAGGTAAGGCTAGGCCTAGTCTAGCAGCATTGGATAGGCGGCGCCTACGATATTTCTTCTCACGACCTATCGCAAAATCAAACATGAAAATTCATCCGCATTTATTCTTTGTGTGGAACACAAAAAAAAAAATCAAATTTCAGTCTTATTTCACATTTTTTTCATTCTTAGGAATGTCTAAATTCCGTTAAACTAGCAATTCCGTATTATATTTATAAATCTTTATAACATTATACAAAAATTAGATTTTTCTTAACAACTGAAATTTTGCTGGGAATGGGGCTTTAACGCCCATTCCCGGCAAAATTTCACTATAAAAAACATTTTTTTTTAATAGAAAAAATGCATATGCATTACTCTATTTATTATAAACCATAGAAAAATATTGTTTTATTCAAAAGGTGAAAAAAAAGAAGAGAAATAGAGATTGTTTTTTCATAGACTTCTTTGTATAATAATTAATATTATTTATTATTACTTAGGCAGTTCCAGAGGTTGTTGTAGATCGCATCCGCTGGAATGCTTTCGCTTTTGCGTACAGTATACTGTACTTTAATACAGCCGAGTGTCGGAGGTAGGCAGGGTAATTATTTCGCGAACCCACCGCATTCTTATCTTATTTTTATTATCTCAGCCACCAATACCATGAACCCTGACCATGATGAGAAGATATTTAATTGATCCCACAATTAATAATAAAAAAAAAACATTACGCCGTGGTTATTGATCTGACACCACAACCCAACTGGCCAGCGTTAGAAGTCCGATGCGCAATGAAATAAAGTATCATTGATATTTTCTAGTCAAAAACTTACCTCTATTAGTAAAAACTCAAACTGAATCATAAATGTTGTAATGTAGTAATTAAGCAGTGGATGAAGCCTTCTATTTTGACTTGCAGTATAGTAGTGGATCATAAAATAGCTACAGTAAGGACGTGCCAAGTGAGCTAGGAAGACAAAGTGCTATGCCTAGACTATAGCACTGATCAGTGAGTGTAGGCCAGTGGAAACCGAAATATTGAACATTTCTAAGTCAAAACAATCTCCCTCATCACGACGAATGTCATTCGTTTTACCCGCAATGTATTTAACATCCATGAAATAGATAGATAGCTTTTTATAAATCAGGAATTTTAAGTGTACGAATTACTAGCCTAGTCATTTCATAGTAGTTTATGATTTTTAAATGTGAAATACATGTACAGTATTCCAACAAATCCACTGTACTCCTTCTAGCCTCCACACTCATGATGATATGGACACACCACGCAGGGCTCAAATTGGGGGTTACAACGCTATTCATCTTCATAAATAACTTAAATGACTTTACTATGTGGTATCCGCTGATGCCCTCCGTGGAAAATGTATACTGTCATCCCCGGGGATGTTTATTTAATATCAAATATATATTAGATATTTACAATATTTTTTATGCAGTTCATTTCTAATTGCTGTTGCCAACTGAAACCCTACGTAGACCAAATATTTGGTTCTGTGCAATAATGATCATGAGAGTAGGCATTGGAGTTTCATAGTACGTTGGTCGTATGTTAAATATGTTATTCTTAAAAAAATCGTAATTAAAATGATCATATATTTATCAACCTTATATATTTGTTTTGGTATCAAACATCAACAAATTCAAACGACAGCCATAGCATGGGCTGAAATGATTTTGCCTAGGCGATCGGGCCCACTTTCAAACCATACAGTGTTCTGATGAAAATATTGAAAATATCAATGATCTTTCAATTGTGCATGCGTAAACCAACAGAAATAAGATGAGCTTTAGTGCTAAATTCTTGTCATCATGTTATTTAAAAATTGGTAAACTCCATAACGGAGGGTCATATCACATTCATTTTTTCTGGAAAATGTTCTCAAAAATTATTCTACACTACCGTATGATTGAAAAAAAATTGAAATTTTTTTTTTTACCCCTGAAACCAAGATGGAAAAAAAAGCCTATCTAAATAGTGTATTAAAATAGGCCTATGAATTACAGTGCAGTAGCATAGTACTTTCGTATTACTGTTCCAGTCACTGATAGTAGGGAGCTTTCGATAGCACGACGACGGTAGAATGTAGAACTAATGAAGTCACTAAAAGTCATCTGCGCATGCAAGAACGTTAAGGTCACCTCGTCGAGTAGATTCTGTAGAATTTGGCCAAATCTACGTATGCAACGAACGTAGGACACCAGGTAGGATGGTCACGCATGAGTGATTTCGTTCTAGCGTCGCATCGTCGCACAAAATCGAAAGCTCCCTAATATACAGATTTCACTTATGAATTAAAGTTACATTGTATGTTTTATAAAGAAGTATGTTTTTAACACAGATAAATCTCGTATGGTAACTAAAACAGTCTTAATTTTTGAACACAAATAAAAAAAACCATGAAAATTGAGCCACCACAAGATTTTGTGTATAATAATTAGTAGGCTGACATTGTTAAGTAAGCTGTACGACACTTGTCATTAGTCATAAAATGTGCATTTTCAGAAAAAATTGTGATTGAGTCTAAGTAAAAGCGCAAGTTTCATGCCAAATGCATGAGACTTGGTAGCATGTGGTCTACAGTTCACTTTAGGACCAGTGCCTAAAATCTTGAGGGCAAGTGAGGGGCAATCTAATATAGGGTAAGATATTTTTCTATAACAGACCAGAGATATAAAATGAAATTGAAGGCTTGTTTTAATCAGGTTATATTTCCACCTTTGGTAATAATATGCACATCCTGGCCATTTTTGGGCTCCTATGTTCTCCAAGTATGTAGTGTAAGTATTTTCATTGCTGCGAAGCAGCCAATTCATATTCTTGACAGCAATTTGACCTCTGAAAGGTCATTGTTTGTCAAAAAACTATCACCTAAGACAACTGAAAAGCGGAGTTTCCTTCTTTCGTTCTGCCGGGTAAAATCAATTACTTTAGGCGACGTTTGTAGACTAACCTACTCGTACCAACGTCGGCATGATGTCGCGACGCTGGAGTACTATTCAGCGTTTTTACTATATTTCTAGGTTTCCTATTTCTACGTTTAATCGGCTCATGCCTCAGCCACAATATTTTGAGGCCAATATTATTTACGAACCCAGTTAAACTTATTTACTAGTCTATTTAACATGCTAATTATTACATTTAGGCGACGCTTGTTGTAGACTGGCATAGAGTTTTCGGAAATAAATACCATTTTATACACATGCGCAGATCGATTCGCCAGCAGCGAGTCATCGCCAGCAGCAGCAGCGAGTCGCCAGCAGAGAGATGTCACTGCAGCAAAACACTATTGTACACAGTACCAACGCTGTTCTAATATAGACAATGGGTCGTGCTCATATTATTTGTTATATTTTTATTATTCATTATTTTCACTTGACTCGCATAAATAATTTTGTTCGAAGAACATTTTATGCAGTTGTACTTCGCAGCACTTCACTTGCAATTTGCAATTTCTAGTTTTAGGCTTTAATTCTGTTTTACAGTATGCCATGGGAAGGCCGGGGGAAGGGGTTAAAATACTAAAAATGACCATTAAGTCTTCATTGGAATATGGATTTAGTTCCGCATTCTCAATTTTTACACCCAAGGCCTGCCTCCCCCCCCCCCCCAACAAAAGCCCTGTAGATATTTGTTATTGGGTCTTACCATCTACAAAAGAATTTTTAAACATTCCTCAATCATGACAGGTAAACTTTGACATTGCATCTTCAAGTCAGATATGTTGAAATGAAATCCAGTTATTGATTGGAACAAACACCCACAGCAAATGCTCGATGCAAAAAAATAATGTTCAAGTAGGCAAATCACCTTATTTTGTGAGGTAGCACCCACTCCCACTTTCCAATTCAATTCATTCTATTCAGTCTGTTATACATAGAACAGAAATGTGCTTTGAAGCTAAGCGATCAACATAAATAGTTAAAAACAGACTGGAAACTTTAAAATGTTCCAAACAGAACAGTAAAAAAAAACATTAAGACGATATAATATATAAAAAAAAAAACTACAGTAAAACGTGTTAAGTGACGTTATCAGAACAATAAATATACTATAAAAACATTAAAATGCAGTAAAGAGTTAAGATATATTATTAAAACACTGTACGATGATAAAAAACAAAGAGCAGAAAATGCATTAATAAACGTTCACTCTCTCATCAGTCCCTCCCATTTCAAGACTCCTTGATACGCCACTGGTCAGTGTAGGCTTGTAGACAGACATTGTATGAGTGTTCCTCAGACAGTGTTGGAATGCTATACCTAAATAATTTTAACACTTCATTTATATTATTATATTTTCAATTTCATGTGAGACTTCTGTCAAATTGTTATACAGGTTCACACCATGGTTTTGTCAACTAAATCTTTAATTAGATAGTCAATGATGATTTGAAGCTTGTATCAAGTGGTCTGGAAGGTGTTCAAAAAACTCTGCAGGTGCACTTCTTCAGATTAACAACAGAAAGTCAGCACAAAAACATTCACAAGTTTCGGGGTAGGTTTATTTTATTCTATAGTGAGAATCTAACTAATTGTCAGAAGCGTGTAAAGAGGTATTTTGTTGACATCATCAATACATATTAGTCTGGTCGAACTGTAGTACCCAAATACACTCGAAGTCAGTTTTTAGGTTTTTTTTTCAGTTTTTTATTTGGCTCTCACTTTTTCAACAGTGGCACACACAAAATGGTGCGTCCATAAAACATAGAAAAACAACAAGTTGAGAAAAATACAATCAATCTAATGTGAAGAGAAGTACAAGCTAACTTCATTACAACATAAATAATAATAATAATAATAATAATAATATCAATAGCAACAACAATAATAATGAAATCAATAATAATAATAATAAAAAATAACAATAATAATACCGTAGCTAATATTAATAAATAATCAATTACATATTGTACAAGCAAAAAAACACAAAATTAGATGTAATACTGTATAAGAAGTAATCATGAAATATGGAACCATAGGGAAGTTCAGTTCAAAGGATACCAGTTTGGCATTTACTATTTGTTTTATTGGATTTAACTACAAATTAATAATTAAATAATCAAATTGAAGTTAATAACGCAGTAAATAGACATGTGTTTCAAAGTATATCTTTTTTATTCCATTATAGTGGAGGGTACATTGTATCGTATACATATTTTTGTGTCTACTCCCCATACGGGGACGTAGACACTATGTCATGGTGTAGCAATTAAAGATGGCAGAAAAGGGTAAATCGGGTTTAGGCATGATGGGTACTACTACCACGAGGTAGGGGGCGCTCTATTGACAATCGAATAGCGTTCGGAACTCAAAATTACGTTCGAAACTTGAACACGCGTTATAGAGACAAAGCACGCGTTCGCCACGAACGTCTTTTACCGTCATTTGAAGGACGCCCTCTAGAACATGGTAGTACTCTTAGGCGTGATCTACAAATTATTCCCAACGACAGAAACGGGTCAAACACGTTTACTATTGTTATATGACAAGCTCCCAAACGCGTCTGTGAAATGCCGTTTGGAAGCTTGTCGTTCGAGCCGTTTATTCCGTTTGGAAGTTAACTCCTCCCCTTTTCATATGGCTGACTGCTCGTGAATGGCAAAATGTTAAACGCGTTCAGCGAAATTTGGAATTTGATCGTGATTTGAACAACTTCAAAACTTGTTCAGTGTCCCTACCGTATCTAGGCTATGTAGGCCTAGGCCTATATTTATAATAGCCTGGTAGTAAAATGCTAGCCTACGCTAGGTGACAGTTCACGAAGAAATGTTTATAATAAGGCCTAAATTTAATTATTTTTCTTGTTGGGGAAACCCCAATGTTTCTTGTATTTTAGTAGGCTAG